ATTCAGCTAAGCAAGAATCCTCTGGAGCTCTTGAAATCAATTCAACCTGTGGTAAAGAGGTCTCCCGAGCAAAGACCACAGTATACTGTTCATTAATTATACAGACCTTGTCCAAATCAGTTTACACACGGCTCCCGTCTACTCGCAATAACGCTTGTGAAGACAGTTTTTCCCCTGCGTCTTTTAAGGTAAGTAAAAACTTCTTGGGATTAGCTACGGCCGAGTCAGCTAAACCCTGCTCGTACTGGAGACGAGCAGTCCTGAGATGTTGCTTACCTTTATTTCCAATCTCTCGATAACTGTCGTAGGTACTGGCTGATGGAGCTGCTTGGTAGGCTCGCCAGCATCTTGAGTAGGTACTTGCCTGTGGTATCTATCCATGGAAGCTGTGCCCGTAACCCTCTTTTCCTCACGAGTGAAATAGGGGGAGTGGAAACCTCCGTAAAGTATTCCTTAAGTTTATCCCAGGTTAACTGGGCAGAGTCGGCTATCGAGATCTCACGGTTCAGAACTGAAGCCTTAGCTCGCATTGCACTAAAGTCCGCCCGCCAGATATTCGGGAGTAATTCAACGGCGGTCCGTTAGTGCCTTGAAAGAGCAAACCGAAAGGACATGCATGTGTAATCACTGGACCCTAGAAGTGCACAGTACGAAACCTCAGTCACGAACTCGTGGGCTTTAGCGAAAACCAGATCTAAACTAGTTGGTATTTGCTTGTACATATACCTAGTGGGGAAGTCCACGAACTGGTACAAAGGCATTTGGAGACTCAGCCCAAGGAAGTCTGCACCGACTGTTCCTGACGCCGAACTGCAAGGTAGATCGCCCCAACGGATTTCCGGGCTGAACTGACCTAGAACTAAACACCTATTCGCGGATTGCGTGCGAATAAAGTCAGTTATCCCTCTGGAGTAACTTCCCGGACTTCTGTATACCACTACAACTGTAAACTGGGTAGAGGAAGTGCACATAACAGCCGATCCGATGACTTGAATGTGTATGTCCTCAACACATCTAATTTACAGCTCACCTCCGCCTTGACGACCAACGGAGCGATCAGTTCTAAACAGTGCGTAGCCAGGTAAACTACCTCACCGTCCGTGATATCCGGATATAACCACCTTTCAGTGAAAGCAAGTAGGTCGGGACGAGATTTGTCTACACGTGGACCCAAACCGTGCACCTTGTTCTATAGGCTACGCACGTAAATTCTTTCGAAGGTACCGATCACTAGTTAGGTGGAATTTGTTTGCGCCACAGTTACTCCAGAGAATTACAAAGATTCGGTAGGCTCCATAGCGAATTCTAGTCCATGGTTAACAGCATGGGTGCTAACCGGGGAATGTAAATGGGAAAGGTTTCGGTTAGAGGTATTGATCATCTATGTTTGTAATGACATTCCTCGGGAACAGGTAAGCTGGAACCGAATTGTTCGGACCAACAATACCAATAGTGTTTCCTGTTAGGTAAGTAGATTTATACGATAGCCAATCTTACAAGTTCAGTTGGGACCGGAATGACAAGAGAATCCCGTGCATGTTCCTTCTTTTGCGTATCGTTGGTTTGGGAATTGATAGGTCTGCTTGAGATGTTGGAAAGCCTAAAACAAAGGTCGCATCACACCCTGTCCAACCAATTACTGCCCACCTTTTCCTGCCCAACAGTCCCTGCCAGACCGATTTATGTGAAGTAAGAAAGAGTGAAGGCTACTTTAAGAAAACAAGAGGAATGCAAGATAACGAATGACAATACTAAGGTATGAGAAGAACTGAAAAAAGAAAGCTGTAGATACAAGTCGGTTAGGGGCAGAAGGTTTGGTACTGCCACCTAAGAGCATCTAACTTACGCTTAAAAGGCTCAATTGTAGATTTCCCAACGACGTGCTCCGGAAGTGAGTTCCGACATTCAATAACCCGACGCGACAAACGAGTTTTCGTCCTTACCCGGTCAGGACGCAGTTTGTGTAGCTTCAATGGGTGACCTCGGAGACTAGACAGCTTGGCAGGACTAAATAGGCAGGACAAGTATTCAGACAAGATAAGCAAGGACCAAGTCTCCTTTAATTCTCCGGTAGTACATTGAGTATTTACCGAAGCTAAGCAAACCTTCGGGATACGTTTGCCCCCGTAAACCCTGCACTAACCTTGTACTCACTAGCAAAACCCGCTCTAGTTCCATTTTGTCTCTTACCAGGCCTGGTGGACAAGCCTAGATACAGTATTCTAAGTGGGGTCGCACAAAAGCTGAGAACAGCTTCACAAAAATACCGGTTGTTAGGACACCGAAGGAGCGGCGAATAAACCAGATTATACGGAACCCTATACAAGCAACCTTCCTCCAATTGTCCCCAGAGTGAAGCAATGAGGTGTGGACGATACTTGAACCAACCTGCTGAGTGACAACAGGGATTTCACTCCCACAAACTACATAGCATGTGGGGGGACTAGCACTTCAAATGCGGATAGCACATTTCGCCTGATTTATAAGCATCAACCATAAGGTTGACCAATCCCAGAGCCTATCCAAGGCACTCTGAATTGCCTCAGAGCCACCAGGGATATCCACAATATTCCAGAACTTGAGGTCATCCGCAAACAATAGCGACGGCACCAAGCTCCTGGGGTAGGTCATTGTCATAAATTGCGAAAAGCAACGGCCCTAAAACCGAGCGCTGCGGAACGTCACTAAGAACAACTTGTCTAAGCAAAAGGCTACGCCCCACGCGTACAAACTGTTCTCTCCCCTCCAGGAAAGTAGACCTATTTAAGGGCGCCTCCAGATATCCCGTACGATCTCGACCTTAGTGAGAGTCGTTGATGTGGGACGGTATCAAAGCTTTTCAAGAAGTCAATGAAAAGCACGTCGATAGCGTAACCATTGTCTATTGCCTCAGCCCAGCTTGCAGGAGCTACAAATAAATTTGTCAGACACAATAATCCCCTACGAAATCCGTGTTGTGCAGCACTGTGGTTAAACTTATTCAGGCGATTCTCCATCGGATCCCTGACCAATTTTTCAAGCAACTTAACTACTTCGCTTGTCAAGCTGGCAGAACGATAGTTCGCGGACAGAGTGCTGTCACCGTCTTTAAAAGTCGGACAGATGATTGCTTCCTTCCATTCTGAAGGTAAAGCACAGCTTTCGAGCGATATTATAACCACGCATATGAGAGGGATACAGCTCAGCGGGTAATTCATGCATCAGCTTCGGATCTATTGAATCAGGGTCAGAAGCTTTGGAGGGATTTAGCCCTTGCGATAGCCTGAAGACTTGTCTCCGTTATGCTGATTTTAGTTAGGCAAGTATCCTCCGATTTGAGAAGGTGGAAGCGTCCATCTTCCAAAACGGTGAACTCAGTAATTTAACTCGTGCATTCATTTGCATGAGGGAGTGTTTCATCGAAATGAAACTTTCAAACGACGCATTGAGGTACACACTGCAAGCGAAGGCAACAACCCATGAACGCGGTGGATTCGTTGATGAGCATCAATAGGCAAGTACACGATCCCGATGTAATGATGAAAATGGTAGGAGTCTACTAACATTATGCTCGTTTCATTCAGTATAATTATGTAGTATGGATTGGTGTCATTTCGCTGTCAAACTCAATGGAAAACAATATGCTTGCTACCATGACGAACAACCTGGTCAAGCAAGTGAGGTACATTACACATATCGCATTGCAGGTACACCTTTTGCGCGCGCCGTTGTCATTGAGTGGAAAGTACTCGCTTACTGTAAAGTATTGCAGATGCCGTAATACGAAATTCCTTCTCTGGTGCTACTGAAGCGTTGATCAATCACCGGTTGAAATGATGGATTCAACACGCAGTGGAGGGAAGGTGCAGATACCATACAAAAGGATGTACCTAATACTTCTCAGCTGGATACGTAATTTTTCGCCGTAATTAAACGTTTTGTGATCATTATCGCGTCTTTTGACGTGACTAAGTGGGACAGTGACGTCCCTTTGTTATAAACGGCGCAGAAGTAGTGGTCCAGAACATATACTCAAAAGCAATACCTTGGGGAAATGCTGCGGAACATTCCTTCGACAGTCCGTTGACAGTCCAAAACATGTTCTCTTCGGACTGTCAGCGGACTCTCGTGCTGGTAGGGAGCTTCCTTTTTTCGCAAATGGCAACGGTTAAATAATTCCGGTAGCTGAGAACCATCAGTTGAGATCAGTCTGCTCTCCTTTGTAGGTATCGGAAGAGGTCAATTATGCGCAACATAAGAAGGGTAACGGTATGCTACCGATATTGAAACCTTTGGAATGTATGCTCTCGATTACGTGTCCGCGATGTGCATTCTAGATCCCGGCTGACTGACGATATTTAGATCGTACTTTTGGAAACGAATAAGCGTCCGCTGTAGTCGACGTGGAATGATACGGAGCGGTTTGCTAGCGATGGATACCAGTTGCTTGCGGTCTGTGAAGACGGTCCTCTTGCGGCCATAGGTATAGTCGTTGAAGCGTTCTACGGTGTACACTAACATCAGCATCTCTTTTTCAATTTGTACGTAACGGCGCTCGGCCTCCGTCAGTGTCCAGGTGCGAAAATCAATGGGCTTACCGCTTTGCATGAAAACGGCTTTGGTGCCATATTGACTACGGTCACATTGAAACTCGAGTGGGAAACGGATCAAAATAGGCGGGAACTGGTGCGTCTGTGATCAACTCTACTTTTCTGGAACGCCCTTTCTTGTTCGGTACCCCAATGCCAAGTTTAACCTTTGTTGCTCAGCTTTCGGATTGGTATCGTTATTTTTTCTTATTATTCTTATGCTTAATTTTCTATCTCATAATCACATGTATACACCATTGCAGTTACGTTATGAGACTTCCTTCGCTGTAATTCGTTAACTGGAGCGCGCTAGTGGTGCATACAACCCACGTTGGAGCCTCTACTTATCACGACTTAGAATAACTTATCACCGTTTACCTATCGCATCGAACACTCCCTATACTAAAATGACTTTGTTTCATGTCTGTTTTAGGTCCACCATCAGCTTTGCTGCCATTCGGTTACTCATCCTATCTGTTCCTTCTGCAAATCCTTGGAAAAGTCTCGATTATGCATTCGGTAGTCTTGGATATCACCGTCGGGAGCCCTAGTTTTATCGATATGGATATATTTGATCTTTGGATAAAGGGCTATTCAGGTAGGAGGGGAGCACAAAGATAAAAGGGAGATCAAGATTTCTTTTTATCTGACGTCACATCGAGATCTTCAGTAGAATTTACGTTATATTATTATTATTACTATTATTATTATTATTCGACACTTGACCAATGTACAATAGGCAATGCTACAGCACATAGTTAACGGCAACAAAAAGGTGGAAAACGGTTAGTCAGTGAAAGGATTTAAAATGTTTAGAAGGTTAATGTGTTTTGTGGGCAGAGATCTTCCCGGTTGCCCAAGCTGAGGAAGTGGGTTGATTTAAAGGACCCCAACCCGAGCCTTTGGTCTTAAGACCTAACCCGCAAGGCGGCGGGGCAGAATTTACGTTAAGTCCACCACGCGTTGTAAACGTTTTCCTTCACCAGCAACTTCCGTGGTTATCCGATGCATCGAACAGATAAGCGAGTCTCTTCTCAATTGCTGGGAAATTACTCCCACTTATAACATTCTATTTCCTATAACATATCTCTACCTTCTAGCGATGTAGTTGCTCTATCCAATACAGTTCTCTGTTCCTGACACCCTGCTTTTGATGATCAGACTTTTTTCAGGTTATCCAACTTTTTTGCAAGATATTTCTGAATTCATTAATTATTTACTCCGTTCCTTGTCCCATACTATACCTGCGTTTCGAACTGCTTTTCTTAGTATAGTGGTATAAGACCCTATCGGATATGGCACAGCCGCGGAGCCAGTGACGCTCCTTCATACGATTTCTTGCATCTAGTTGTTAGTACTCAATCCATATTTGCTTTCCTGCTTTTTCCCTAACTCTTTCCTCCGGATGTTTTGCATTCTACCTCTTCGTCCTCGTGAGGTGCTACGATATAATCCAGTAGACGAGTGGGACCACTCTGAGCAGCAGCTTCGGTGAAATCCAGGAGGATCTGTGTGTGTTCATGAAAGTCAGATCGTGAGTTACACAATGGGATTGAATGATGGCCGTTCCCAACGGCTACACCAGTAAGATACGGTGTGACGCTTAAAGCGCGTTGAAATCATCCACCAGAAAGTCAGTCACTCTTCTGGTGACAACTGGGACTGTCTATTTTTTCGTGGCTTCGGCATGTGCTGGGACCGTACCTGTTAGTATTCGTCGAAAACGTACCCGCGGTGTAGGTAAAATGCCAACAACCCTGGACTGGTTCCAGTCTCATCCTCCGTCAAAGTTGCTGGATCTGCAGAGTTGACGCCATGTTCACGTGGTGCCACAGTGACGTTCTCGGTCCAATAAGATGTGTAACCGACACCCTCTTGGCACAACCGTTTGGCCGTTCACGTCTCATAGGGCATCATAATGTCACCATCACATCAGCCGAGCTACACAGCGTCCAGTGCGGTTTGTCTCATTGGATTTTGGTTTGTGTTTAGGGCTTGGAGCGCACTCATTTTTCAGTATCAAACCTTCGGCGCGTTCTGCAACTGCATACAACTTCGACGGGTAACCGATGAGATGGAGACTTGGATTTGCAGCTGGATGAGACTGATGATATGGCTACTGTGGATTTAGTTCAGAAAGTGCACTAGACTTAACTGTAAACCGGCCTCTTCATCAGTATCTCGAACACACGAACTGTAATCAGAACAATGACACAAAGCTCTTGCGTCCGTGTATTCCGTCTACTGATTCTTCTCTTTACAGACGTAATGAATGTTAGTGTTCAATCGAAAACGTCCATCTAATCAGTTGCGAGTTAGGTGTGTGTGCACACATGAGAACCTAGCACTATCGGCTACTGCGTACGGCATCATCCTCTATCTCATATAAGCACACCAATCTGAACTGCAACTGAGGGGCCAGTCACGCTGCTTGAGACCTCGTTTTTGGGCACTGGTACCGCGTGTTAGGGCCGTGTCCGATTGTCTGGCGTTATCTTTGCGGTCATTGGCTAGCTGATATGTTCCTAGTCTTAGTGTTAGGGTAATACCGATGGGGCGCCATAGTACTGTCTTTTATGTGTCTTCCTTTCTCAGCCGAACGAACCTTCTGAGGCGCACTGTTACGGCCAAATTTTCACAGATGGACGACGGTCGGCAACGCTCAACCTGGTGGTGATCATTGTTTTTGCGGACTAATTTGGCTGCGTTCCATTTCGTCCGCTGCCATGGTATGCGGTCGTTTGCTCTGTGATGAGACGTCCTTTGTACAGTTGAACAACTGTGATCCGAGCACCAAAGTGTGGCGATTCCAATTGCCACGACTCACATCGCAAGAATAATAATAAATACTAGTGTCAAGATAGTGGGGTTGAATGCAAATAGAATGTGTAGAAAATGGAAACTAGAAGCAAGTGCAGTAAATTATTCAGAATGGAACGAAAATTAACAAGCAGGTGCAAGAATCCAGGAACGTCACTGACTTCGTGACCGCGCCATGTCTGATACGGTTTCCAACCATCGGTGTGGACCATACCGAGACCCGCATCTACGAAGACGGCAAGCGCCAGTCTAAGTCTCTCAGTCAGTTTCTCCAAGCACCTATGCCGCGTCATGGACTGACCATCCCACGGTTTCATCCAACTTGGGGCAGCCACGGCGTGTAATACATACCGAGGAAGCCGGTCGACGGGCATACGAAGGACATGGACTAGCCAACGTAAGCGCTTAAGATTCAGTAAACACTTAAATGATGAACCAGAAGGCTTCCTGCGAAAAACCAACTGGCGGACCTCAGCATTTTTCACTTGGTGTTTCCACCAGACGTGAGCAACACTCCGCAGGCGCTGGTGGTCAAACACAGCGAACTGGCCGGTCTCTGATCCATACAGTGAGACCGGCCTTACCGCAGCATTATACGCCGTATCTTTCACTGACAGGCTGATATTCCGATATCTCTGTAGATGGTTGCGTCTCTGGAAAACCACATGGGCCTTGCTGATACGCGAAGTAACTTCCTCAATGCTGTGACCGCCAGAGGTGACACAGCTACTAAGATAAGTGAACCTATCCACTACTTCCAGTGACTGCTCAATGATAGCTAAAACCGGAGGTGTGTCCATCCAGTCCTGCAACAGTACTTTGCACTTCGAAGGTGCAAAGCACATGCCGAAGGGTGCGGCGCTACGCGTCAGTCTATCCAATAGTGTTTGCATAGTCACTGCGTCAGACCCAAGGACAGCTGTCGTCCGCATACTCCAAGTTTTTAACTCGGCCACTTGGCAGAACTTCCATTCCTGTAGAGTCTGCAAAAACGGAGTCACTCACGATCATTTCGATAACAAAACTGAAAAGAAAAGGCGTCCTTTGTGTAAACAGCCTGAATTCAACTCTGGTCAAAGTCAAGGTAAGCTTTATGTACCCGGATGGGCGCATTTCCATCCTTTTAAATTATCAACTGCGGATTAAATAAAATGGCATTTTGACAAATGCAAAATTTTATAAATGGATACAAAAAAGAGAAACTGGCGCAATGGTGTCATTTGAGTAAAAGGACCGGCGTTCTTGAGCACTGAGTTAATGTTGATAAACAGAATTTTCTAGTTTTTTTCCAGCCGTTTGAGCGTGCCGGGCAAACGTGTCGTCTATTTACTTTCCTTTAGCAAGCTATTCGTGCGTTCAATCATGCCGTTGGCAGCTGAGTTTCACAAAACCGTTCTTACGTGTTTTACATCGCGGAATTCTAGGAACTGATGGAATTCATAGTTTGTGATTTATGGCCCTTTATCTGTCACAATCTTTCGGGAGCCCAAATCTAGCAAACAGATGCTTTAAACACCGTTTAACTGTTGAAGTGTTCACATAACCACATAGATGAAACTCATGCCATATGCCGTCAAAGCACGTGGTCACCAAACAGTTCATCTGGTGCCGTGTTGTGGAATGAAACAGTCCCATGATGCCAATCGACACTTTACATAGGCTGAGCGGGTGCATCAATCGGCTTGAAGCTTTTGTCGGCTTTCTGGCATATGTCACAAGACAGGACACACGCTTTCACCATTTTAGACACCTTCGGTCACCCGAATGCTGCTGTAGCCTGCGCTTCTTTCGCACGATGCCGGGATGTACGTTTTTGGTGTTAGCTGCTGTGGAGCCACGAATCGCATAAGGCGACCATCAGTGACCGCGAGTTCGTGTCGTTAAACGTAAAACGCACGCAGTTCGCTACTAAGCTTCGTGCACTGAAGTCGGGCTTCGGAGATGTAGTGGGAAAAGGCATGTACATTTGGGTCGCTTTTGTTGGCTTCTTGTAGCTCTGCCTTAGGTACGACGGAAAGCTCGCTTGTTTGCGAAACGTCAATACTTTTTCATCCAAGCGAAGACGAGATAAGCTCACTCTGGTGTAACTCTTGGAGCTCGGGCGCAGTGCGGTCTGAAAATCATAATTCAGTAGATCAGCATACCAGCGATTGATCCGAAGTAGCGTGTGACCGTTTATTCTCCGACTAAGGACGGTAGTTAAACCATTGTGACGAGACTGCACTTTAACATGATGTGATGGTTTGCGTGCTTCAGCATTGCATTGAGCTATGATGGATGGTGCTTTTGCACCTCCACAGCCACTCATACCAAAGTGGTCAATGGTTTGAAGCCAGAAGAACTCGCTTCTGGTCCTTCAGCTTTGACGTTAGAATGATTTTGGCTGCTTAACCCGTTTAATAAACTATCTGTACCAAGGTGCCAAAATCCTGCTGCCTTGTGATCAGATTTTTGAACCAAAGGCTTTAGTTGAGAACCATACTCGTTCTGTCCAGGCCTGGGCAATCTGACAGTATCCTGCCCGCGCAATACAATACGGTGACTTAAAACATTTTCCTGATGCTCTGACTGTCGCAGAGAATAATCAACGGCGCCCTATCTGATGCATCGATCAAGTTGGATAGGAGGTAGGATTATACTGCTCAGACCTTCCCGTCTTCTTATTCCCCTCTTGCGCTTCCCCCCCCCCCCAATCCTCCTCTTTCCAAACCTCGGCATGCTTTTGCCAATCTCCGCCACCTGAGGCACCGGTGTAATATCACTCTCGCTCTGAAGCGC